ATATCGCGAATCTAGGGAAAATTCACCTGTCCCAATAAGGAATTAGTGTCTGAACTTTCAGACAGACATCCAGAATTTCTACATTATATGGTAAGGCTAAAAGCTCCATGCTAAAGACTGCTGCAATATGATGGCCAGCCATTATGGTCTAATGAGTAGGTAATGCACTCTGAACTGGAAGGATTCAGTTGCTAGACAAAGAGAGGATGTGATCACCTCAATCAGATTCATTGAGTTGGGAGTGAGGGAATTGTCAGGTAGTGAGTGACGGTACATTCCAGGCAGGCAGCAGCGTGCCATTAAAAATCGGCTCGTGTGCCATCTTTGGCACGCATGCCATAGGTTGCCAACCCCTGGTCTAGTGCTATTGGTTCATGAAAATCAACCTCTCCTACTTATCATAAAGCCACCTCAGGACAAATAATCCCTGCTGGTTTCTATTTCCAGACCGTACGGGTACTTGAGTGCACTGCAAATTTAGGCAAAATGCAACCTACCGGATGGGGAAATAAACGGGTTTTGCAGAGCATGGCTTCCAAGAATGCAAGAGTGATATTATCATCTGGATGCTAGACATTAATGCAGCCTTGCAAAATGGTAATGAAAGTTTACCAACTCAGGTGCAAAAATCTTCTCAACAATCATGTCACAGGATGAGGATAATGAAAAACAAAATCCTAATGATATTTTACTCACCTAGCAAATAAAAATTAACTGCTTAAGGCGAAGTGCTTTGCAAAGGAAGTCAGTATCGTTATCCCCGTTTTATAAGTGGGGAAACTAAGGCACAGAGAGATGACATAAAAGACCAGCTTTGTCTGATCCATATTAAAATTAAATGTGTCTAGTCTTCAAGCCTTTGCAACATGTATCAAGAGGACAGAACACCCACTGTATGCTGAGGAAAAAATCACCCCAACATTTAAAATGCATAGATGCTACCTAAACACAGATTACTAGACAGTCAAGCTGTAAGGACTATCCATGAATAAAATTGAGGCCAAGACAACAACCAGGATGCAAATAACAGGGTATCAAGCTCAAAAAAGTGAATCTTTTAGTCCACTGTAAATCAGTGATAGGAAAAAAAAAAGTCACAAAAGTATGCCAGCAGGCTTGCTTTGCTTACTACACGTGAAGATTTTCTGCCCAAATCTCCCCTCTCCCCCGAAAAAACAACCTTTCCATCTCAATGAATGGAACATTATACAACTCTTTGGCGTTATTAATCTTACCATACAGATAACTTGGCCTTAAGCAAAAGTCTCTGAAAATGTGCTGCTTGCCATCCTCCAGAAGTCACCCTGTTATGGCACCCCAGGAATATCATAAACATTCAAGACGACAAGTATGCTACAGTACCAAAGGCACGGATTGAACACAGTAATGGTAATGGGTCAACGTAATCTCTGGTTGAAACTCAACTGAAGTCAACAGAATTCAACAACCATCAATTTAGCCGAAATAAATACATGCATATTTAAAGCTTCTATAGCACCTTCTACATCACAAAGCACTTTACAAATACCTAAGGGTGGACATACTCTGAAAAGTAACTAAATGCATGAGGTTGCATTTATCACCCATCAATGATTTAGAGAATAAATCTGCTCAATTTACTAGTAAAAATAACTGAAGCAAAGGCAGTGTGTTTTTCCATGATTCTGAAATTCAAATTGTGTGTGAGCGCATGTGCATACATGTGTGTTTTCTGGCTTGTGATTCATTCAGCAGGAGTAAAAGCTTTGTAGGCCAAACACCTGTGCATCGCAAGTGAAGACCCACCAATGCTGAATGAACTGGAGATCTGCAGTCCTGAGACACATCTAGAGGTTACAGGCAATGGGTCGTCCAACCTGTGATATACACAAGACTACCAAGCTCTCGGGTCTTAGGAAGCACTCAGAAGCATGGTGCTAGCTAAGGACACAAGCATGTACTGCTTGCTGAACAAGATGGATTGGGAGCAGACCTTGTTCGCATGCATGCAGTATCAAAGGTGTACCTATGCAGCTACCTGCTAAATTACAGTGAAGAAGCAGTATGAGGTACAGACAAGAAAAAGAGACACACAGAGGAAGAACAATCCAGGAGGGAATGATTGGAGACAGGTAGAATTAACAAAGGATGGATGAGAGGTAAAGAGTCACAAACAGACAAAACGATATAGGAAAACAATGGGGGGCACAAACACTGGTGAACCCAAAACATTTTTGTTTTTGCTTGAAAATAAACTTTGGAACAAAATATCATCATATTAAGTGTGCATGGTGCTCTCTTTGTTTGTTTCCCCATCTGTAAAATGAAGATACAACCCCACTATGAGGCAGATGGTAACTCATTGTCTACATACACTTGCTATCTGCACATTTTCTGAATGTTTATATAAAAGAACAGTCAACGCAAAAATTTAACACCATCAGATATCAAATCACCTTTCATGCTTTAGTGATCCACGTAGGTATACCTTCTTCCAATTCTTCTAGCAAATATGATTTTGAATTCAAAATGTCCTGCTTGATTATTCTGTCTGTCTGATTCTCATATGGCTTCATAAAGCAGCACTGCGTTTCACCTGAATGGAGTCTCAACAAGGCTTGTTGGCTCTGAAACTAAGTGACGTTGAAAAAGCATGCTTTCTCACTGTCGGGCACAGAATGAATCCAGGTATCCAATGTCCTTGCTTTAAAGGTCATTTGGAAAGATGTTGTGGTATAAATACTGCTGCCTATGTGACAGGGTTATAACTTATGGATGGGACAATTCCATTGTTACTCAGATCTTCTGTAGGGAGTCTGATGACTTTACCTTGCCACAAAGACAGACCAAGAAAACCTCAAGAAATCTTTTCAAGTGACAAAAGGTCCTAGTTTTTAAGAAGAGCCAACTGGATTTAGAGTCCTGACCTTCGTTGGGTTGTTGGCCTGGAACATATAATGGATATATCTGCAAGACCTCCACAGAAGTAACTGAAAGCATGTTTCCAATGCAGTGTTACCAGTCAAAGTATTCACCCCTCCCTGTCAGTGCATTAAGATTCCTTACATGGAGAAATACCCTGAAAGGTCATTGTTTGAATGTCCTGGTCACTGAAATACTGGAAAAGCCAAGGACACCCACCCCAGTATGGCGGGGGGAGGAGTTAATACACTTCTAAGCCCACTCTTCATTTCAAAGTGTGGGATTTAGATACACACTCCCTCTGCAATAATGCAAATTCCCCCCAGCCCCTAGACAGCATGGCATGCTATCTCAGCAGGGACAACTAGAAGCTCTAATAGCATTAGATATGTACTGCTGGTAGAGCTTATTAGATGTCAGAACTGCTGCTATCATCTACTGCAGGGATAAGCAACCTATGGCACGCGTGCCAAAGGCGGCACTCAAGTTGATTTTCAGTGGCACTCACACTGCCCGGGTCCTGGCCACCGGTCCGAGGGGCTCTGCATTTTAATTTAAATTTTAAGTGAAGCTTCTTAAACATTTTAAAAACCTTATTTACTTTACATACAACAATAGTTTAGTTATATATTATAGACTTATAGAAAGAGACCTCTTAAAAACGTTAAAATGTATTACTGGCACACGAAACTTTAAATCAGAGTGAATAAATGAAGACTCGGCACACCACTTCTGAAAGGTTGCCGACCCCTGATCTAATGCTGGAAGTGTGCTGAGGGGGGAGGAGCATGCAGAGGGAGGGAAAGGAGAGAGAATGCGGTCAGACACAGTAGGAAGAGAAGAGAAAAATTAGAAGACAAAGAATATTTATCCTGCCAGCAATAGCATCTCCTATCGGTTCCAGACAAAAAGCACTGACTCCTCCAGAAAAGCCAATTCAGGCATCAGGAAGGTACATAAGTGACACGGTTGAGTCAGAATCATGTGACCAAAAGGTAAGAAAATGATTGGGGCACGATGCTTACTTTTAAAATATTGACCCGCCTATCTTTGCCATTGTTGGTAAAGAGTCCCACCTTGTCACTCATGCAAAATGAGCCCTGCAAATCCAAAGGGGACACAACAAAAGCACAAAATATTTACTGATCACAAGTGAAGATGGTGAATTTTTTACTACCAGGTGTTTACTTGGAAGGGCGTTGCACCCAGCTCTTCTAAAGCAGGGGTTTAAAAACCCATCCCACACACAGAGAATCAATATCTCACTCATTGGAATAGAATTTTTCCACCAGACTAGTCGATTAATAAGGCAATTTGGTTCAGATTAGAAGTTATAAAATGAACACACACTACAAGCTTCAGCTAGCCCCACGCTAACAGACGTCAGGCCATGGTGCTGTGATGCAAGATCACTTCACGAGGCCACCAAGTAAGGAAGCCCGCTGACGTTGCTAATAGAATAACAGCCTGATTTCCAAAGCTGAGCAACCCCAGCTCCCACTAGAGTCAACCTGAGCTGAAGGTGCTCAGCTCATTTGAAAAATCAGGCCACAACTGTCTAATGGCCCGACTCAGTGCCCGCTTTCCATTGGCTTCACTGAGCATGGAAACATGCACTCGCCGGTTACTTTTCTACTCTTCTAGTCACGGTGGGGGTTTAGTTTTCAAGCCAATGTTTTATTTATGCAGACACAGCCAACATATTGCTAATTTTCTCTGTACAACACTGTGGGCTTTAAAGAGCATGTTTTTACTAGATGTTCCCCTCATACTGGAGATAGATGCTGAAAAAGAGGTTAATGCAGATTGAAAATCATTGTGACATTATGGACCATTTAATTGATTATTAGGCCTGCTTAGGGGCATGTATTAATAGGACAGAACCTCCATGCGTGAGTTTCTCTCCCATCAGTGAATTGCAAGCGGAAGGAATGCATCCCACTATTCTTCAGACTACTGTGTAATCAGCATACAGTAATGATTTGAAATAGAAGAACATAACGTCAAAATCTATAACTATAAAAGAACCAATGGGCAGCTCATTGTAACACTGATCAGGACAGAAAGCAAGGCATATATAAAATATAACAATGCTTTACCATAGCACTGAGAGTCTCTTCCCAGTCCGGCCTCTCTCGGGGATGAATGCTTCTCTGAAGCTCTGGAACAAAGTCATCCTCTTCTGTATGTACAGAGGACTTCATCATTCTAGAGAGAAAAGACAGACATGCTTGTTTCTTGCTTACAAATTCCTAGCAAAGCTTACTTATGGCTTCACATCAGTGCTGCATGTATGAAATACTCTCACACATCAAAATGCAAAGGGTTTTAAATATCTGGTATTCATGGGGTTTTGTGTTTTTTTCTGAGAATACCAGCAGCTCAAGAACATAATCTAGTTTGGAAATTTGCATTCCCAAACCAACTTTAAATTATTGGTTTATTGTGATTATTTTTAAGCCTTCATCCTAATCACTGGACACTTGAAAAAACTTAAAAAAAAAAAATCAAACAAAAAATTAAAATTTTCTAACACATTCAGCAGATTCAGTGAATTCAACAGACTGGCCAGACAACCAAAATGAACCACATGAATAACAATATCTGTCAATAATCACTTCTATTACTATCTCCTGCCCTACTTTTCCCCCAAATGCTTGAGGGCAAAAAAGAAGGCCCTTGAAGTATGCCAGCAAGGTCAGTATATCAAGACTCCGATAGAATTCAGCAACTCCTCAGTTGGGAAAAGGTCTTTAATCAGCTGTTGTAGCTTTGGGATTCGAGCAGACCCACCACATAGAACTACCTTGTTAATGTCATCTGCTGTAAATCAACTTGTTGCAAGAGTTTTTTAATTGCTTCTACACATTTATTAAAAAGTGGAGAACAAATCAATTCAAATCTGGCCCTGGACACATAGCGCAAGGTCTGGGTCATCAGTTGTTGCAGTGTTTGTCCTTACCCTGTGTGGTGCAGAGTACCCTTGACTCACACTCATTTCAATAGTATTTGACGGGTGCTCAGCACCTAACTCTCTCAGGCCAAACATTTCTGCAGATAAGGAGGATCTCATTTTCAAACACCTTACACGGTTTATTTGTATTCCAACACAGAGACTATTATGGACTTGGCTGGGAGCTCAAATCTTCTTAAAAAAAAAAAGTATTTACCAAACCTTCCCAGTTCACCTTTAAGGCATCTCTATCGTTATGAACTGAGTCAAGCAGGCCATATAAACGACACTTTGCAGGGGACAGCGGCAAAGATCTAAAGCACTAAATCCTGCTGAGTCTAGTGTGATCCATCCCAGCTTCATTAGCAACATGCACAATTCAAAGCTAATCTTTATTAATAGGCTGCCATATATTTATTTATTTAGGCAAACCATTTCATTAATCAGCACTGCATATACATGAACCCAAAGGAAGGAAAGGTGAGCCAAATGTTAGCTACGATGAATCATCCAGTTTGACTAAAGGAATAAATATATTGAAAGTGTTTACACAACATTGCTATGCACTTTGCAATTCTTTAAAATGTTGCTAAGCAAGCATTAAGAAAGATTTGCTAGTGATAGTCCACCTTTTTTCCTGAACTGATCACCAATCTTAATTGCTAGCTTCCTACAGTAAAAACTTAAACTATAAAGCTGTAAAAGGCATATATATGTATGTAGTTGAAAACGTGAAGCACTCCATAAGTAGTGATTTTGCAATGCAGATCAATGAAGCAGAGAATGCAAATAAGTAAAACATTTTAGTTACAATTCCATTAAAAAGATAAAAATAGTCAAATAAATGTATGACATCAATAGCCAGATTCAATAATTGCAATCTACTTTTATAATCTAATTCTATAGCTGCTATGGCCCAGGCACTTGGGCAAACCAGTTTTTGATTCATCTAACAAAGGAAACCCATTGTATAGGAGCTTTGCATAAATACACAGCACTGTGCCATGTACATGGACATATTCCATTGCCCTGCACCTTAGGTACCCATTACAGACAGTTGACAAGAAGGTGTGAGTGACACACCTTACCACTCTCTTACCACTTCCAAAGTTATTTTTCCTCCCTTGGTATCCTACTGTTAATTGATTTATCTCGTTAGACTGACCTCACACTTGGTAAAGCACCCCCATCCTTTCATGTATTTATACCTGCTCCTGTATTTTCCACTGCATGCATCCGATGAATTGGGTTATAGCCCACGAAAGCTTATGCCCAAATAAATTTGTTAGTCTCCAAGGTGCCACAAGGACTCCTCATTGTTTTTGCCCCATACAGTGTTATTCTAAAAATAAGCCTGCAAATCGGCAATCACACTTTCCTGCAAGTTTCCCAGGAGCTCTCCCACAACCTTCATTATGTCCCATGACAAACTGGAACAACTCCACAGGAGCCATTCCTGTTTATTAGGCAGCCAGTATCGTTTTTTAAAACTGCCTGATTGTGCATACAAACCAGAGACTCCCTGCCCAGCGATAAATCCTTCCCATCCCCTCCCCACTAAGAATTTGAAATACATCTAATGTATTTACCAAAAAAGCTGTTCTGGGCTCTCTCAGCTCATGAAGGGGTAAGAGTGGTTATGGCTTCCCAATTATACATTTTAAACAACTGATTTTGGTATTTGTCAGAGTTGTCCTCCAGGACACCTCAAGATTCAAGCAAGTAGCAGGCAATTAGGCCAAACACAATTACCCCTGGAAATCAAAAGAGTTAGTTTCTCAGAAAACTATACACATTTTATACCTTCCCATAAACCACTTTCCTTATATTCAGTATTTTAACAAAAACTGCTTTGAAGTCACATCTCTGAGACAGAGACTGACTGAAGATCGAAAATGCTACGTGTAAGGGATGATAGGTCTGACTCCTACTTTCTCATGCCACATGGCTTTTTCCTCCCCCCCCCAAATCTGGCCTGGATTAAGCAGAATAGTTCCTATATCTCTTCCCTCCCCCATCCCACTAAGCAGCACAAAGAAGAGAAAAAGCCGTGGTCAGAGGAGGAGGGCACTACTCCAGATACTCTCCCTGCATAGCTGCCTCCAGAGTCTGCGTAAAACCCCCACATATCCACATGGAGAAAGGGAAGATGGCATGCGAGTTGGGAGGAGCAGGGGAAATTACCCTAAACATGTCTATGGACTGAAGTCTGCATAGAGAAGAATTAATTTTTCCTCATCCAGCCTCAGCTCATCCTCCACACTTTCAAATGGCGTTTTGCCATTGACTTCCAGAGTAGCAGACTGTGGCCTCTCCAAGAGTCCTCCCAGAGGGGTTATAGAGCACACGCAATAGTCACATGCCAATTTCGATTCAGCTGGGAGCCTGTCACGCTACTATTGAAGGAGATAAAGGGAGCATAAGGGAAAAATGTATCATGGCACATATGTAAGCCCCTTCATTTTCAGTTTAAAGCAATTTTTACCCAAAAATTCCCGGGTTATACAAAAAGTATTATCCATTTTTTTCTGATTTTCACCCTACTTTTGTATCATTCAAATATATTAAAAATAACTTGCTTTATTAGGAAAACACAGTACATTGCAGGAGACGCATGTATTACGATAATACATTAGTCTGTGTGTATATGCAAAGCTGCCTGTTGAAATCAGGCTATGTATTAGTCTAGAAGATACACACAATAAACAAACAGGCACACACGCAAGCTCTGGAGTGCGTGCGCATCTGAACGTATTGATGAATCTCACACCCATCACGTACACATTTCAAGCTGTTAGATAACGGTTTAAAGATTTGACACACTATACTGGGAAGAAAATTAAAATCTGTATCGGAATACGTTTCAGAACACAAGGAAGTATTCGAAAGTTTAAAAAAAACAAAAACAGGAGAAAAGGACGAAGTTGAGTGTATGCACTGCAAATGGTGTGGCCCAATTATTAAACGTAAATATTTATAGGCTAATAGTTCGAAGTCTAGAACAGTAAACATTCTATTCAAATAAAAAGTTTTTTGGGGGGGTGACTAGAGATGTATTTTTTTCTTAAACTCAGAGGTGGCATTGTGTTTTGAGTTCTGTTTTAATATTGCAGCAAGCCACATTGATGAGCGGAATTCAAAGCATTAATTTACTGAACACTTTTTTCCCCCGTCTTTCCATCCACCAAAATAACCCCCGATATTTACCCAGAAAAACTATTCATTGTTTTTTGCACTGATTTTCACCTGTTTTTGTTGCTGTGGTAAAAAACACTGATAATTCTGGGAAAAATTAAATAAAATAGAAACTGAAAACAAAGGGCCCTGCATATATGACAGGGGGGCCACATAGCTGAGGGAGGTTTCCTAGTGGTCCACAGACCCCATAACATTTTCTGGCCCCATCCCACTTGCACTGGTCCCATGAAACAGGGATTTTTTTTTTAAGGGCATGTTTACATATACAGAGCTGCAATTGCACTGCTGCAGCGCATCTGCTGAAGATGCGCTATGCTGACAGGAAAGAGCTCTCACACTGGCATAATAAAATCACCTCCGCGAACGGCAGAAGCTATGTCGGCAAGAGAGCTTCTCCTACAGACATAGTGCTGTGCACATAGAATAACAGAAGATTAGGGTTGGAAGAGACCTCAGAAGGTCATCTAGTCCAATCCCCTGCTCAAAGCAGGACCAACACCAAGTAAATCATCCCAGCCAGGGCTTTGTCAAGCCGGGCCTTAAAAACCTCTAAGGATGGAGATTCCACCACCTCCCTAGGTAACCCATTCCAGTGCTTCACCACCCTCCTAGTGAAATAGTGTTTCCTAATATCCAACCTAGACCTCCCCCACTGCAACTTGAGACCATTGCTGCTTGGTTCTGTCATCTGTCACCACTGAGAACAGCCGAGATCCATCCGCTTTGGAACCCCCCTGAAGGCTGCTATCAAATCCCCCCTCACTCTTCTCTTCTGCAGACTAAATAAACCCAGTACCCTCAACCTCTCCTCATAAGTCATGCACCCCAGCCCCCAATCATTTTCGTTGCCCTCCACTGGACTCCCTCCAATTTGTCCATATCCATTCTGTAGTGGGGGGCCCAAAACTGGATGCAGTACTCCAGATGTGGCCCCACCAGTGCTGAATAGAGGGGAATAATGACTTGCTTCGATCTGCTGGCAACGCTCCTACTAATGCAGCCCAATATGCCATTAGCCTTCTTGGCAACAATGGCCCACTGC